GCTAGTGGTCTCATTAAGAATAGTCATGCTAAGTGGCTAAAAAGGTTCACGAGCAATTTGGGTGTTGTTAGGACTTCAACTGTTGCTCCATAATGCCCTTAATGGTTTTAAACTTCCTTAGAGTGCAAGTTTGAAGCAGTTCATATTGAAGTTGACTCTCTTCATTTTAAACATATCCTTCAAAATCTTATTAGACACAATTCCATGTATTTAGATGTGAAAATTCAAAGTCGTGACATGTTCAACCTTGATTAAGATATTTAATTCTCCCATATTCACCATGAAGATAATTTGTATATTGATCGGTTAGCATATTGGGCACACTGCATCCTCCTCAACTATAATTTTTTTTTGCTAATACCCCTTTTGACCTTCACATCTATTTGTTCTCGCACCACTACAACATGGGGCACCATTAATTAGGCACCAATTTTTTGTGTTGAATTATTGTGCTTTTGTCATTTAAGTTTAAAAAAAAAAAACAAGATCATATATTTGTTCATTTCAACAGCATACTAGTGATAACAAGGATAAGTTTCGTGTTTAAGTTGACCATCATTACTTAACTTTGGTATAATCTTTAGAATGATTGTTTGTAAAATTTGAGCAAAAATATAAAATTGTGTTAAAAAAAAAAAAAAAAAAAAAAAAAAAAGCAATGAGGCCGACTAGGATCTGCCCGGGCTTAATTGCTAAATGGTGATCGTGCACGTATAGGATAATATTTAGTCACACGCATAATTCTTATCCAACTATAAAGGGTTTAACTATAATCGTTGGTTGTAATACTTTAATTATGTCATTATTACCACATCTAATAATTAATTACAGGACCCTCAGTGGTATATATATATATATGTGTGTGTGTGTGTGTAACATATAATTAATTAAACAGCATGTTAATTAATTAGTTTTATTCTTACTGTATGGTGCCAATTGCTAAAGTTAGTAATGTATAATTAAAATAAATTAACCATTAGGGGGTACGGATTGTGTTGAGGAGAAAATGGAGTGGTTAATTAAAGTTGACGGTTTAGATTTTATAGCCCACAGACAAAATCTGCTTTAACTGCCTACTAACCCTAGCTAATGCTATGGTAGTTTTATTTTTTTTTTATTTTTTCCTGTGCTTCGTAGTTATTAAGGTTATGTTTTTTTTTTTTTTTTAAAAAAAAAAAGTTTGGATTTGGAATAAATTAAGAAATTTACAGAGAATTTATTTAAAAATTATTAAGGTTATGTAAATGAATAATGAAAGTAACCATGGTTTAGAAAGCGGTCCCAGATAAAAAAAACTATGGGTTAGAAAGGGATCAGAACAATCATGTGATTAATGACGACAAAACGGGAGGCGGACAAGATAACGTCAATTGCGGCGCCATTAACCCCTTTGGTCTTTTCGAGGCTCATCAAACGCCAATTTGGCTCCTTCACGCACTTGTATACTACTAACCTTATTTTATTTTAATTATTAATTATATTAAAATTTTAAATATATATTATAAAAAGTAATAATTTGTTTCTTATTATAATAATATACATGTTTAATTTGACTCTAAACGTTTTTAAGTTGTGCGGTTCAAATTTAAACACATTGGACTTTTATTTGGAGAAAGTGAAGTTAAAAATTTTAATTTTGTCACGGTAAATATATAAGTAATTACAATTCAAATTAAATACATTAATTTAGTAATGAAACATTTCATGAGATTAATAATTTTCATTTTTTATATTTGAATTAAATAAATAAATAAATAAATAAAAAAGGAAAATTGGATTGGCATTAAAATGATTGAAGTCAAAAGGATGAAGTACAGGCGTGGATGCAAGAATTGCGTGAGATGGAAGCCAAGAAAGAAACGGTCAATTTTTACAAGTTGGCATTTTTTATTTTACGTATGTGATGCGAGAAGTGGGGTCCACACGACAACTACTTCCTGTGGGGTCTACCTTGACGTGTACACACGTCGTTTCCTACGTGGACATCACTTGCTAAACCCACGCAAAGCATTCATTCCTCTCATCACTTCCGACTACGACACGTTTTATGTGCGTTTCCTTTTTTTTTTTTTTTTTTTCAAATAATAATAATAATAATTTAGGGAGTTTAGAATTTTAATTTTTATCTTCCTAAAAATATTAATAAATAATGATAATGAGATAATAGTAATATAATGGCTGTTTGTTGATGGAGCTGGTCAGAAACCACGGCCAGCCATTTATGAATACTACTTAATATTGAAATATATATGTGCGAGGAAATGAAGAAAATGGAACTAGTGATCGGGAGAAGGCGACAGACCACGTGCGGGATTCATGTGAATCAACCCCATCACGTGCCACTAGATTCTATCCTCTTTTTTTTTTTTTTTTTTTTTTTTTTTTTTTTTTGGTGATGTTTAAAATCGTACCTACATGTAACATGCAATATACTTTTCATGGGACCATGCATGAACATTCTTCAAATAATCATATTCACAATTTTTTTCACTTTTAAATTCTATTTTTATTGTTTGAAAAATTTATACTAAAATTCGCCAATTTTCAAGAAATTAAGATGAAATAGACAGTGACAGTGAGATGGATTTTTTTACAGAGTTTTATTCTCCATTCTATTAAAATTTGTGATGGCCCGAAGAAGCAAGCAATTTTATATATAATTTGGTTATAAAACACGAATTATTCAACTCTTGTGTACGCGCTTCTATTGCATAAAGACCTCAATAAATCCATATTAATTTGAAAATTAAAAATATAAAATATAAAATATATTTTTTTTTAATGTATCAAATGTATAAATATATATATATATATATATATATATAGCATTAGTTTCTTAACAAATTTATAATACAATAAGTAGAATTTAATGGTTACAAATATATCAATATTCCTAAACATAATAGAGGTTGCGTGATGTGTTTATCAAAACATAAATTAGCTATCATAAAATGTGCTAATCATGATCTAAGAGATCACACTTAAACATTTAAATTTCACAAATGAATTAGGTAGTAGGTAATTGGCGGCTTCGTGGTGCTCTCTAATTATGTCTCTTTCACTCGTGTATATAATATGCATTTGTAGTTTAGAATATCTACCTTTCATCTACTACTCGATGTGGGTATAGGCTTTAGGAGTCGGAAGTCTTTTTCTTTGCCAGCCTAACATTTCGTGATTAGCTTAGAATGATAATTTAATATTAAGAAAATGTTTGTATTACTTGCATGAGATCATAGACTCAAATAAAGTAGCTTTTAATTCGTGGCCAATAATCGTTTTATTTGTAAGCCAAGTTGTGGCCACTCTTCCAAATACCAATGCATAAATTAATATACGATATATATGATATGTGATATATATACATATCTAGTAATTACTTTTTCATAATATATATTTATAGCAATTGACTTTACCAATTGTCAACTCTCTCTTGGTGGCACAGATAGTGGTAAAGACATTATAGATCATCTCATGATATTATAAAAAAATTAAAAAAAAAAAAAAAAAAAAAGAAGAAGAAAACAAACAGCTGGCTTAGACAGTTTATGCAAAGGCATTATTAGATTGATTATTTATTTATTATTATTATTATCATTATCTTAGATAGTTGTTAAGCGATAAATTAAACCCTATTGATAATTTTTCTATTAAAAAAAAAAACAAATTAATTTTTTTAATTTGCCGAAGGAGTATATATATCATTGATAATAAAGTAGCCAGAAGACCCAATTAAAAATAGTGGTGGTGTGACATTAAAATGGTTGTGTCCACAAAAGTTTATTAATGGGCCTAAATTTGTTTTTAGGAAAATCTGCCACATTTTAAAAGGAAGTTTTCTATTCCATTCCTGACATGGTTCTAATTTTAATCCTAACACTTGTCAACTAAGAGAAAAAGT